AGGCGGGTAATTAATCACTTTAACTACGAACAATCATGCTTAAGCTACATAATCTTTACTCCCTGGAATGGAGATAAGAAACGCCCTAACCTTTGAAATAGAGATTGATAGGATTGAATCAACTGGTATAAATACAGATGTAACAAGACAGCGAGAGACAGAACCTAGGCACAGAACCTACACAGAACGTTCTCTAGAGACAGAAGAACTTCGCTGGAGAGAACATGGCAAAAGATCCTGGACAGAAACTGGCCTCAGAACCTAGAGACAGAACCTAGCGAGAGAACATGGCAAAAGATCCTGGACTGAACCTGACTACAGAAATTGGCAAGAGAACCTGACTAGAACCTGGTGACTGAACCTGGCTGGAGAACCTAGCGAGGGAACATGGCTACAGAACCTGGCTGGAGAACCTGGGGAACCTGGACAGAACCTGGCTGGAGATCCTAAGCAGAACCTCTCTGGAGATCCAGACCAGAACTTGGCTAGAGATCCTGGCTAGGCTGCTGATCAACTGGACGCTGTCTCTGTGTCATTCCTTCTTCGCCGACTCCATCCACACCTTTGGGGACCCCTGGACCTGCTGGGGTTGGACCCTGGCAGCAAAAAGCCAACGTGTCCACTGCACGTGGTGTTGGGGGAGGTGAGAGGTCAGGAGCCGGGTGGGAGGGCCTTGCCAGGAAAGGACTTTGACCTTCACTCTGCATGACACGGGAACCTTCGGGAGGGTTTGGGGTCCGGGGTGACAGGATCGGATGCGGTCAGTCATCACACCGTTCTGCAGCTGAGACCAAGCGGGGAGCAGCCCACTTCACATGCCCCCCAAAGAAGTAAAGTCTGATTGCAAACGTGTAGTCAAGCTCACGTGTCTTCCTGAAGTTCTGGTGGGAAAAGAAAAGGGGAAGTTACCAGGCCCAGCACCCGGCACATGTCACCCTCCTTCCTGTTTAAACGTCTCGGCTCCTTGTGAAAGCAGTTCCCATAGAAGCCGCCGGCGCTGTCTCCAGGCAGAGTCTCTCACGGCGAACAGAGCCGCCTGCACGCCCAGGGAACAGGATCGCCTTCTGGTTCCGTTTCCGTGCCAGACAGTGAGCAAGCATTTCACTTACACAGATTACGTCTCCCTCCAAACTCACCAGTAGGCGGGTCCCCTTACCCTCACGCCCATTTCACAGGTAAGAAAACTAAGGCTCAGAGAGGGGCAGGGGCTATGCAACCAACAAGCGGAGGAGCCAGTCCGCAAGGGCTCCGCATTCATGCAAACTTCACCCCAGATGGACCGAGGTGGGGAAGGTCTACACGTACCTGCACAGGCAGGGACTGGCCGGGGCACCCCGGCCACCCTTTCTCCTGGCACAGCCGGGAAACTCAACGATGGCCGCTGTGGCTTCAGGTACTTCCAGGCCTCGGGTACATCCCACAGGGATCAGCAGGCAGGTTCCAGATTCCCTGTCACCACCACCCCTGCCTCCTCCTCAGCATGTGGCATAATAAATGCACTATTTCATATATATGTATATATATATTTTAAATTGATCTCAGAGAGGAAGGGAGAGGGAGAGATAGAAACATCAATCATGAGAGAATTATTGATTGGCTGCCTCCTGCACGCCCCCTACTAGGGATTGAGCCTGCAACCGGGCATGTGCCCTGACCGGGAATTGAACCGTGACCTCCTGGTTCAGAGGTCAATGTTCAACCACTGAGCCACGCCGGCCGGGCATAAACGCGCTCTTTAGCCGCCCTTTAATCCTAAATTCCAAACTTGCAGGGCAGGACGCATCCTTGGCGATCATCCTGTCAGACGGTGCCATTGCTCCCATATCTCCTGCAGGGCTCAGCCAAGCAGGACCATTTGTTAACCCTCCGCATACAAGTTCTCACCACTCCTGAGAAGGTCCATCCGATCCTGGAGCAGCCGTGGCTGGAAAGATCGCTAGAAGGGGAGAGGATGACCTGGTTGGACGCCTAGCCCAGCGACCTTGGACAAGTCACTTCACCTCTCTGAGCCTCACCTGTGAAAGGGGGGCGCGTGGGGCGGTAGGTGAGGCTGAAAGCACATACTTAGGTTCTTAGCAAGGTGCCTGCACACAGCAGGTGCTCAGTGAAAGCATCCACGCGAGCAGGGTAAACAGGTATCACCTTCTCGGGTGCAATTCCAGGTGTAGCGCCGATTGCGTGAGTCAGCCGTGGGCATGTGGGCGGGGCTCCCCTGCAAGGTGGGAGGCAGGTCTGGGGCCTGGGAGAAAGGTCAGGGGAGGGGAGAGGTGCCTGTCCTCCCACCTTCAAGTTAGTGCGCGTTGCAGAGTACGAGGAACTGCCCAGGGGCAAGGCGAGAGACGGGCTAAGTCAGTGGTTCTCAACCTTGGCTGCACGTTAGAATCACCTGGGGATCTTTTTAACATCCTGATTCCTGGGCCTCATCCTCCGGAAATTCTGTTTCTTTGTTATGGGGTGGGGCCGCGCACCCCCCTTTCACAGCTAAGGCTCAGAGAGGTGAAGTGAGGAAAAGCCATCAGCCCTGGGAACAAACTCGAAATTGTAATGATGAGACTTGCCATTAATGCATGCAGGAGACTGTGGAGGGCACCACACCTCTGATCTTGTTTGGCCCTGAATACGACAGACAGGCCAGGCCAGCACCATTCTCTCCCCATCATCGCAGATACTCGGGAGCCCTGTGAAGGTCACGGAGCCTGTGAGGCTGTGGCAGAGGCTTGACCTTAGCTCCTCACATGCTGGAGTGGTCCTTACCACTCCCGAGAGGAGTGCAGGGCGCGGAGAGGGCGCTGAGAGGGGGGTTGGCGGGGCGCAGGCCTGGGGAGGTTAGTGGACCACCTTGACTGACAGTCTCCACGCTGAGATGACCAGTTAGAATCCTGACGGAGGGCGCTGGTGCCCTGGGGAGGCAATGGGAGCGTCCCTGGTGGGGGCTCTTATCCGGACATCATTCATTTAAAAGCTGACTCAGGGTGGACTTGAAGGTGTGTCTCTGAGCAGGTGACCTTGAAGCTGAGCCTTGGACAAGAAGGAGCCAGCTCTGCAGAGATCTGGGGAGAAAGGGTTCCATGAACAGGAATTGGTGCGTGCAAAGGCCCTGAGGCGGGAGTCAGCCACCCTGCCAGGACTTTTATCAAAACAAACAATCTGAAGGGGGGGGGAGGGGAGGGGGGGGCGAAGTAACCAAGAGCGTTCACTCCCCACTGAGTGTGGCTATAAGGATGCCTACTGTTTCCTTTCCTCTGAGACACTGTTACTTTCTTTTCTTCTCTTTTTTCTTTTTTGCTGTCAGTCAGTCCTTTCACAGAAAAATGAACGTTAATGACAACAGTGTCACCAATGTGGCGAAATGAAAAGTTGACAACTCTGCAAACCCCCTATAACTTGAGGGGGACATTTTACTAGTCTGTGATTTCCAGGTCTGGGGGCACTTGGGAACCAGCCTCAGAAGCTCCGTTCGTTCGTTCGTTGCCCCGCCTTTGCTCCCAGATCACTCTGGATTTCCCACACTCTTTCTTCCTCTTCCTCCCTTTTCAGAGTTTGACCTCCAAAAGGCGAGGGCCACCCCTGCCTGGCGTCCAGCCAGGCTCACAACAGGTGCAGACAAGATACTGATTGAATGAATGCACTGTGATTGGTGAGGATATGAACACTCCCAGAATACAACTGCCAGCGAGCCTGGGGAGAGCTGAGTCAAGGAAAAGGCCCCGGACCTCAGAGCCAGGAGCCTGGGTTCAAGTCCTGCCTCCTGCAAGGGGCAGTGTGGCTCAGGGACATCAAAAGATCTTGCCCACGTACCACACTCACGGCTCAGTTCGTGAAGCCACTTTTTCTGAGTCTCAGCTTCCTCACCTGTAAATTGGGGACGATAATGCCTGGAACCAGGGTTCCTCTGAAGAATGAAAGCAATGTTTGCAGAAAACCACTGGGTAGGTCAGCGGTTCTCAACCTTCCTAATGCCGCGACCCTTTAATACAGTTCCTCATGTTGTGGTGACCCCCAATTTCATTGTTACAAATTGAACATCATGAAAGCACAGTGATGAATCACAAAAACAATATGTAATTATATATGTGTCTTCCGAGGGTCTTAGGCGACCCCTGTGAAAGGGTCGTTCGACCCCCAAAGGGGTCGCGACCCACAGGTTGAGAACCGCTGTGTAGGTGGTAAATGCTCGCTCCGCGGTCCATCCCTCCAGCACCCAGCACGCAGTGCCCCGTCCAGCCCAGAGGACCGCTTCCCGCATGAGCCTGTGAACCGGTGCGGGAACTTTGCTAAGTTCTGAACTGCAAAGCTCAGCGCCCGGCACCCAGTGGGAGCTCAATCAATCAAGCAATCAATCAATCAATCAATCAGTGAGTCAGGACCCCGGCCAGGCGGCGCCCCCTGAGTCCCCTTCCTCTCTAAGCAGGTAGTCGGTCTCCCGGCTCCTTCCGCTCGGGCTCCCGTGAAACCGAATGATTTCCTTTTCGGGCCAGGCCTCCGAGTCGCATTTAGGGAAGGTGGGCGGGTGAGAAGAGGCTGATGAAAAGGTTAGTGCACATTTTAGGCTCCCACTTCCGACTCTTCCAGACCTATTTTTGCCTGCTTCATCAAAGGAGCCACGTTACATTCGTTACGTTCCTTTAGCTTGTCTTTAAAAAAAAAAAAAAAAAAAAAAATTGGAAGTCTTTATTTAAACCGCCCCCTCCAGCCATCCCAGGACGCGGCGCGGAGGGGCGCAGACAGGTGGAGCGAGCGCCCGGGAAGGCGGGGGCTGTGCCGAGCCGCGGGGGCCGGGCGGCGGCGGCGTTCAGGACTTTTTGGCGAGAGCAGCCCCGCGCCCTCCGGAGGGGGCGACTCCTCTCCGACCGCCGCCCCAGGTAGCCGGGCCCCGCCGGCACCGGCCCGCCCGCCTCCGCTCCCGCAGCGCGGCGGCCGGAGGGGCGGGGCCGGGGGCGGGGCGGGCGTGATGTAATCCCGGCGCCGGGCGGAAGGATATGGAGCGCGCCGCCGGCGGGGCGCTGAGGCCAGTTGCCGGGTAACGGAGTGGAGCGGCTCCGCGCAGCCTCCCGCCCTCCGCGAGTGGCGCCGGGGCCGCCGCCGCTTTACGTAAGGCGCAGGCCAGGGCCGCCGGCGCTCGGAGCCGCTCGGAGCCCGAGAGGAGAGCAGAGGAGAGGAGGCGCCGCTCGGCAGGTACCGGGAGGCCGGGGCGGGCGGACGGGCGCGGCCCCTGGGCCGGCCGGGCGGGGAGGGACCCGGCGGGCAGCCGCCGCCGAGAGACTCTGGGGCCGGCTGGAGGGAGGCCGGGCCGTCCCGGGAGCCGCGGGCTCCGCGAGCACCCCGGCCCTGCCCCGGCGTGCGGCGGGCTGCGGGCTCGGGGACCCCCCGCCCCGGCCCGGCCCCGCGCTCCGGGAGAGCGAGGGGCGGACGATGAGTCCGCACAATGGGCCGGCGTCGCGGCGCCGGGAGCGGCTCTTCGGGGGGAGGCCAGGCGCGGGCCGGACGTGGGCCGGGGCGCGGAGCCCCGGGCGGCGGCGGCGGCGGCGGCGGGGTCCTGGCGTGGCCGGCGGGTGGGCGCTCGCGGCGCGGCCCCCTCCCCGCCAGCATTGTCCTTCGGGGGCCCGGGGAGGGGAACGGCCGGCGGGGGAGGGGCCGCGCGGGGCGGGGCCGGCCTGACGGACGGGCGCGCGGGCCTGTGGCGCGGCGGGCGGCGGCGGGGGGCGGGGCCGGGGCCGGGCGCGCGCGGGGCGGGCGCGGCGCAAGGTTTGGCGAAGGTTACGGCCGCCTGCAGGCGTGACGGGCCCGCGGAGTCCCCGCCGCGGCCGAGCGGGGGTCCCGAGCCCGGGCTCCGAGCGCTCGCCGTCCCCGCGGCCGTTCGGAGCCGCCGCTCCTCTCCGCCCGGGAGACGGGGGTCGCGGCGTGTGACCTGCCGCGCGCGGCCGGGGATGCACGGACGGGGGCCTGCGCGTCCCGGGGAGCAGACGCCCCGGTCGCGGAGCCCAGTTTTGACGTCTCTTTCGCCGCCTCTCGGCCCTGCCCCCCACAGGGAAGCTGGGGGGGGCGTCAGCCGGGAGACCGTGCAGCGGAGAAGCGGGGAGGGGCATGCGGGTCGCTGGAGCGATTTAACCGAATGCGGTTCCTGCCGGGAATGACCTGGGGTGGACACTTGGACATTCCGGGTGGATGCTGCCTCCGAGTTCCCGAGTCGGGGCTTACACACACACACCACAGGACGGCGGGGAAGTTGGGTGAGGTGGACGGGGGCAAGCAGTTTTGATAATGGGGGTTGTGAGTAATCCAGATTTCTCCTATGTAATGCTAGTGGCCTGGTGCACGAAATGCGTGCATGGGGAGGGAGTGTCCCTCAGCCTGGCCTGCACCTTCTCCAATCTGGGACCCCTCGGGGCATGTCCGACTGCCGGTTTAGGCCGGATCCCCCTGGTATTGGGCCTAAACCGGCAGTCAGACATCCCTCTCCCAATTTGGGACCACTGGCTCCTAACCGCTCACCTGCCCTGCCTGCCTGATCACCTCTAACCAGTCTGCCTGCCTGCCTGCCTTCTCGCCCCCAACTGCCCTCCCCTCCTGGCCTGATCGCCCCTAACCACCTCTGCCTCAGCCTGCCACCATGGCCTTGTCCCTAAGGACTTCCGGAAGCTCTCCCGGTCTAATTAGTATATTACCCTTTTATTAGTATAGATAAGACCCGCACCAGAACACCTTGGCCATTTCATAGACTTTGGAATTTAAAGGGGAGGGGGAAAAATCTGCCACTCTGCATTCTGAAGGTCAGATGTTCTCTCATCAGTTGTTCTGGATTCATCCATTTAAAAGATATATATATATATATACATATATATATTTTTAAAAAATATATTTTATTGATTTTTTACAGAGAGGAAGGGAGAGGGATAGAGAGTCAGAAACATCGATGAGAGAGAAACATGGATTAGCTGCCTCCTGCACACCCCCTACTGGGGATGTGCCTGCAACCAAGGTACATGCCCCTGACCGGAATTGAACCCAGGACCCTTTAGTCTCCAGGGCTCTATCCACTGAGCCAAACCAATCAAGGCTAAAAAATGTATTTTTATTTTTATTGATTTCAGAGAGGAAGGGAGAGGGAGAGAGAGATAGAAACATCAGTGATGAGAGAGAATCATTGATCGGCTGCCTCCTGCAAGCCCCCTACTGGGGCCGAGTCCACAACCCAGGGCCTGTGCCCTGATCTGGAATCGAACCTGGGACCCTTTAGTCTGCAGGCTGATGCTCTACCCACTGAGCAAAACCAGCTAGGGCTGGAACCATCCGTTCTTAAATGGGTCTCAGGACCTTTACGCCATTCTTTTGTGACAAACACTTTCTGAATTAGGTAAGCTCCTTGCAGTTACATCTACAACAGGGTGAAGCAAAGGAGCTTTAAAGGCGTGCCTTAGTGAAACACGAGTTTATTCTTTATTATTATTTATTAATTATTGTTCTATTTTGCATATGAACAACTGCAAACCTCCTTTTGCCCCACCCTGTATTCTAGATTCAATTGCTGTACCCTGCTAAATAATGAATTTTTAATAATTCAGAAAGTAGTTTACTGCTTCAGTTGGGGCACATGTATAATGGTCTCTCAGTGAAATGCCAATTTGGCTACTTGAACATGGAATGAAGGGCAGAATACTAGTCTTAAATATTTAACTCCATAGCACGTGGAATTAGAGGTACCAGGGTTTTTTTGTTCATTTTTTAAAGGACAGGTCTTTAACATGGGGTTAACAGAAAGCATATCTATAACTATTTTAAGGCTAATTAGCTTATTTACACAAGTTGCAAACATTTGGGAAAATTACATGATTTTTAACACTTCTCTAGCGATCTTATAGATCACCCTGCTTTTACAGTAGCAATATTGCTTTTCAAAAGCAATAGGATAAAAAAATTTTTTGCCCAGAATGGAAAAGTACCGAGCCTGGATTTTCTGTTTTAGCAGCATTTCGCTTGGAACAGTTAATGGCCTCTGAGCCAGTTTTCTCATCAGTGAAATGGGAATAATGATGATACCTGTCTCAGGATGGTTGGGATGGTCAAGTAAGGGGAGATGTGAAATAATTCCAGCAACATTCAGCCCCTTTAAAAAGACTAGATTAGTGCCAATGTGTCAATGCTTCTGATTCCTTTCTTGGCTTAAAGCTTTGTCTTCAGGCTCCTCTCCACCTCCTCCTCTCTGGCCGCCAGAGTCATCTTTCTGAAACACGGATCAGATCTTGCCAGTCTCTGGCTTAGAAAGCTTAAGACTACCTGCTGCTGGGGGGATGGAATCCGGGCCCACCAGCATCCCATTCAAGGCCCCTCGTGGCCCGGCCCCAGACGTCTCTGAACTTCACCTGTCCTCTTCTTCACCATTCCACACTGCCGCTAATCAGGACCACTCTTCCTCTCGGAACATGCCAAGCTGCTGCTTCCTTGTTTGCTTAGAGCCTCAGCTCTGATTGGAATGCCTGTCTCACTCCCATCCCCTCCAGTTTTTAAAATGTTTTGTTAATCCTCACCCGAGGATATTTTTCCCATTGACTTTTAGAAGGGAGGGAGGAAGGAGGGGGGGTAGAGAAAGAGAGAAACACTATGTGAGAGAGACACATTGATAGGTTGCCTCCCACACACAACCTGACCTGCATGAAACCTGCAGCCCGAAACCTGCAGTCCAGGTACGTGCCCTGGACTGGGAATCGAACCCAAGACCCTTTGGTCTGTAAGCTGAGGCTTTAAACATGGAGGCAAACTGGCCAGGGCTCCCCTCCAGTTTTTAAAAGCCCACATCTGATTTTACGTCCTCTCTGGAACCCTTTGGAAATCCTGTAAAAATGAGTTATTCATTTCTGCAGTCATAATCCTCTATTTTTACTTGCATTATTACCTGTGTCATGTTGTATTGTGTATGTTAAACTCTGGCTGTGCTGTTATTTTACCCCCAACACCTTGCTCAGGAGTTTAAACATGAAAGTGTTCAAATGTTTGCTCAAGTCTGTAATCGCCTTATGTAGTGTGTTATTGTTATGAAGTATGTTAATAGCAAACATCAAGTCCCAACCACAACATTCACAATGCGGTTATATTGTGTTGAAGATAGTTAATACTTAGAATATTTTTTCCAGTTATTTTTGGCCTCTCATGTGATACCAAGTGGGATCTTTATACGACGTGCAAACAACCGCCTCCCATCTGTCTGACTGCCAGCACCCAGGAGCCTGCCTGCGCCCACGGAGCCTCGAACTGTACCCTGGACGGAGGAGCCAGGCACAGGGTTTGAAGTGTCCCTGACCTCTGAAATCTCATTGCACTCCCAGCAGATTACTTTTTATTAAAATGGTTTTTAAGACAAGAGTTATTAATCTCACTAGAAAGTGGTTTGCATGGGAGGGCTTATTTAAGCTGACGAGGCCTGTACTGGAGACGCGGCTGTGTCTGGGCGCAGCGCTCACCCCTGGGTCACTGTGGGCAAGTCGGGTACATCCCTCTCGGACTTTAGTCTCTTTGTTCTGTGAAATGAGAGCGGTCTTGTCTGTGCTATTTTTGTTGTCGTGTCCCTTAAAGTGGCCATACTTGGTGTCCTGCGTGTCCTCGTTGCGCTGTGAGTGAGATGCCTCACTTCCAGCACGTTCGTCCTTCTCGTTACCCAGGCTGGACACTCGGCTTTTTCCGTTTCTTCACCAGATTTTTGCCCCGTCTGCCTCCACGTGTCCTTTCCACCCACCTTTTCTAGGGCTCCTCGCCCCTGCCGCTGTGGGCTCTTGTCAGCCCTCACGTGGATGGTTACGTAGGCCTGCTGCTGACCGGCCTCACTTTCTCCAGTCTCTCTGGTCCTGTGTTGTTACAGGATGGTTTAATAGTAAATCAAACCATGGCGCGCCTTCCCCCCAATGTGCACCGGAGGTTCTCAGCATCCCCCTCCATCACACCTGGGGGTATGGCCGAGTTCTGCTGGGAGGTGGGCTGTTTCCTGCAGAGCCTTCCCTTGGAGCCACCACCACCTGACCCTGGTGGAGAATTCACGTGAAAGGGTTAGGAAATCGCTCTAAGACCTTATGCCATCTGGCCTCATTCCAGCCTTGAGCTTGATCTTTTACTGTGTCTCTCTCGTCACCTTGTGTTTCAACACTAGACCTCTGGCTGCTTTCATGGTTGTTTGTCCAGTTCCTTTA